TATAATAAATATACACAACATTTCAGAATAAATAATGAATAATTAAGAATGAAAATATTGAATTATTTAATATTTTATTCAACATAAAATCAATAAAACATATATTTTGATAATATACAAATGAAATAATAAAGAAATATACAATACTCAAGAATTAATAAAAAGGAAATAAAAAGAATAAATGAATATAAAAGTGATAAATAATAGAAGAAAGAAATAGAAAAACAATGAAAAACAAATAATATAAAAAGAATATAAATATATAAAAGAATAAAAATAAAGTAGAAGAAGAATATAAAAATAATAAATCACAAAGAGATGATAAAAGAAGAAAAGAAGAAATAAAATGTGTATTTTTATTGTAAAAATAGAAATATGAAATAAAAGTGTCTAATTTAATGATTCAAAATAATTAATATTGTTTTATTGAAAAAAAATATTGTATTATTTTTTATGTTTATTATTTATATGTATAATTTAAACATGATGTTTATTATATATTCAATCATATGTGTTATGTTATTATAACATATAATAAGTGATAAAATATAAATGAAAATGATATGAATATATAACATAGATAGAATATAAAACAAAAGAATAATAAGAATAAATGATAAATAAAAGGAGAAATGATAATCAATGATATAATAATAAAATCAAAGTATAAAAGATAAATTTAATATTAATATAAATCAAAAGAGAATAAATATAAAATGAAAATAGATATAAATGATAAGAATATAAAAATGATAAAGATGAATAAACAAATAAATAAATACAACTAAATAGAAAAGAATAACAATAAGAAAATCTAAATAATATAAACATAAAAAACATAAAATAAGAAGAATATAATAATATAATAATATATAGATAATAAGAAGATGATAGATAAATAATATAAACAGAGAAATAAATATATAAAAATACGATAGATAAATAACATATAAATAAAAGAATAAAAAATACAAATAATTAAATATGAATAATCAAATCATTTATTTCATTAATATTTCATACAAAATGAATACAAATGATTATAAAATATAAACATGAATATTTAAAGATAGAGTGCTAATCATACCAGAAAAATATATATTTGAAGTAAAATATAATAAAATTTAAAAATAAAAAAAATTTATGATTAACCTTATCCTTAGGTTTTCATCACGTTGAGAAGTGAGCAAATCAGTTTCGTCAACATGCTTTATTTCTATTGAAATATTATTTTTCAAGCATTCTCGACTTAAATGGTTCATCATTTAAGTTGCTGCCTGACTTTTATTTTGATTATAATGAGTAATATAATATTTCTCATTCTTTGTATGGTTGTTTTAAGGAGAAGATATCCATAACACAATGATTATGACTCATCTCCTTTATCTTCCACACCCCTTAAAGAAACCCTATTCCTTGATAATATCCTTATGTTTAACTTTTGTGCAACAGTAATAATAATATATGCGTCATATTTAATAAATTATAATTCTTAATACAAAATACTCCATAAGTAAAAAATAATTTTTATAAATAATAATGAATAATAATTTTTAAAAGTAAATACCCAAAAAATTATTTGGATTATATATAAAAAATTGGTTCAACACACACAATCATACAAAAAAGAAGTCACTATTAGACAATTGGTAGAAAAGAAGAGTGGAAACGAACAATAACAAAATAAAAATAAAAAAGAAAATAGTAAAAAAATGTGAAGAAAACAATAAAAACAAAAAAAAAAATAAAGAAAAAAAAATTACAACACGAATTTTTGAAAAAAAAATTTTATGTATATATCACTTTATCACTATACTTATACTTATCTTTATTATTATTTCCTTTTACTATATCACTTTATTTTTATATCTATTTATATCTATGTCTTTTTATATCTTTTTATATCAGTCTTTTTATATCTTTTTATATCAGTCTTTTTATATCTTTTTATATCTTTTTATATCAGTCTTTTTATATCACTCGATATACACCTTTCTGCCTTTTTCCTGTTTATAAAGGTTTCATGGTGTAGTTGGTTATCACATCATCTTGACGTGGTGAGGGTCCCCGGATCGAACCCGGGTGAAACCATTTTATACTTATTATCTCTATACCTTTATACCTTTATATGTTTATCTCTTCATCTCTTTATACCTTTATATACTTCTATATATGTATATATATTTTATACCTTTATACCTTTATACCTTTATATGTTTATATGTTTATATGTTTATATGTTTATATGTTTATATGTTTATAT